GAAGAATCACAAGGAGCTGCAGAGTCACCATAGTATGGGGTGGGTCCTGCCCAGAGGCGTCCCCTTGCCCTCAGTAACTGGCTTGTGCTATACAAAAAGTTCCTTCAGCCACCTCTGCTGGACTTTCAAGATTGCCTTTGGGCAGCTGAAACTGCTGCTGTAATGAAGGCCGAGGGTCTCCTGCATGAACAGGCTTTCTCCACAAACTGTCTCCCGCACCATACCCCACAGGACCTAGACCACCCGGCCAGGCCCATGCCCCACCAAGGGGCTGGAGCACTCCACGTACGGCACCGCCCAGGCTTGGCCCTGACCCCAGGATCCTGGTTATCCTTGGGGCTTGGGAGAGCTCCCTGGGGACGGCTCTACCCATGTGGTTTGGAAAGCAGTGGAGCTAGGCGAGCGTGAAATCCTGCATGAGATTTACTGTAAGCAACTCGAGATCATAGGAAAGAAAATAAATGGCTTGAAATCAAGTGGAAAAAAATAAAGCCACTGCAAGGCTTTGCACACAGGCTGGGGTAAACAAACCTCAAAGGCTGCTTTTTTAACTGTTCTTGGGGCCTCTGAGGGTGAAGTGGCCAGGCTGTGGTTGGTGGCGACTGGCTGAGTTTGCATCTGCCCATGGCATCCTCACCCCAACTCTGCTTGGACCTTGGTGTGAGAGCAACCTCTGGGCCTCAGAAGAGAGCCCTCACTGGAGGGACGGACCACTATGCCCTCTCTGTCACTCAGCACAATCACACGCACTCATCACAAATCCAGTCATCCTTCACACAATCTCAAACACAGCCACCAACACTCACAGCATCTCACACCCAGTCGCCAGTCTGACGGATCTCTGCTATACACACACACACACACACCCCACCGTGGCAATACCACAAATACACACATACTGTATCATAAAGAACTGCTCTTCTTTTTAGCTGAACAGCAGTTGATCCTAGAGACTGTTGTCTCTCTGAGCTGCCAGGACATGCTTTCATGTGTTCATCTGCCCAAAGTGGTAACAGACCACTCTGAAACAGCATCAAAGGATTCTTTGGCAAAGCTGGATCTGAACCCCAGAGCAGGAAGGCCTTTGGTGATTGTCTGGTCTTGAGTTTCTAAGCTGTGTTTGAGAGCTCCAAAGTGGGATCTCAGAGGCTGTGACTGGGAACAGGTGTAGGTGCCAGAGTAGGAGGCAGGGGAGAGGGGCAGCAGAGGTGACCCCCTCCCCACCCCCATGTGCTAGTCAAAGTCATTCTGCCGCATCCACTTTACACAGAGAGCTTTGGAATAAAGTATATTGGGGGAAAAAAATCAGGTTTTGTTTCACTACAAAAAAGAGTTTAGGAAGCACTGGCCCAGCCCCTGCTGTTAGGGAAAGAAGTCAAGGCACAGGCTGGGTTGGCCACACAGCTGTGGGCAGGTGAGCTGACCTGGAGACCCAGGCGTCCTGATGCTATATTGTGGCCAAGTACTTGCTTTCCTGTGACTCTCCCCCGACTGGACTTCCGCTGGCCTAATGGCGTCTGAGCTGGATGACATTGGTACCTGCATGTCCAAGTTCTATCAAGAAAGGCCTTTGCCGTTAAACCCCGGGGCAGCAACCAGGAGGTGGGTTTCCAGTCCCAGGGCTGTTGTACTGCCCAGGAGTCACAGCAAACCTTTGGCCAGGCCTGGCATTGCTCCAGAGAGCTGAGGCCAGAGGTGCTGGGGTGCTGGAGTGCAGCACTGCTGGCAGGTGAGGGAAGCACGCTGTTCCGGAGCTCTCCTTCGGAAGGCGCGAGAACAACTTCTTCACAGGAGCGCTCGCCAATGCCAGGAATGCTAACGTGTAATTTGAAATAATTTCAGCGTGACTGTCTCACAGGATCTGGGCAGCACTACAACTGCCCTGGCTGTTCCTGTCCTCACTGTCATTCCTCCACAGGAAGCCCCCAGGACCATGGGGGCCGTGGGAGTAGGGGCAACTCCACTGGGGTGGCCCCATCTCTGGCAGCCCCTTGGGAGAGCAAACACAGCCAGGAGAAGCATGGATCTGGAGGGGCCCCAGAGGTGGCACAGCTGCCCAAGGCTGGCCCTGCTCCTCTCCTGAAGCCCTCAGTCTAACTAAACATTTGCTTGGACTTGAAGAAACCAGAGAGAGGCTGGGTGCAGTGGCTCAAGCCTGTAATCCCAGCACTTTGGGAGGCCGAGATGCAGAGATTGCCTGAGTCCACCGGTTGGAGAATGGCCTGGGCAACCTGGCAAGACCTCATCTCTACCATAAATCAAAATATTAGGTGGACATGGTAGCTCATGCCTGTAGTTCTGGCTACTTAGAAGGCCGAGACAGAAGGATTGTTGGAGCCCAGCAGGTCGATACTGGGGTGGCTGTGAGCGTGCCACTGTACTCTAGCCTGGGCAACGGAATGAGACTCCAACTCAAAAAACAAAAAAGAAACCAGAGAGAGTTAGGTGTCTTCTCAAGGGCACCTCTGAACTGCACACACCCCTGGGGCATGGCTAGGCCCCATCATCCCACCCAGCAGGGCACTTGGTACTCAGGAAACTCCCTGGTTGCTCAGGAAGTACCTGCTGAGGGTGAGTGTCGTCACAGAAGTCCCATTGGGGACTATGTGAGACATCCCTGCGGTTGAGTCTACTGAGATGGCAACATGGCCTCCACCACGAGGCACCAAGCCAAGACTGAGGGCAAGAAAAGACAGGAAGGGACACAGAGGCATCTGAGCATGGCAGGAATGGGACGGACCCGCAGCAGCAGGAACTGGTCCAGGCACAGCTGCATGCTATGAGGCAGGAATTATCACTCCCATTTCACAGAGGAAGAAGCCCCAGCTCAGAGGAAGAGAGTCGGGCCCGGAACCAAGTCTGTCTTATTCCCAAATCCAGGTTTTTAAACAGCAATCCAAAAGAGAGGCTCTGGGGCCAGATTGCCTGGGTGGAGCCGGAGCTACCAGTTTTACTTGCTGAATAACCGTGGGTCAAACTGCTCCGCTCCCAACTCCTGGGTTCCTAATCTGAAAAACAGGGATGGTGACGTGATCACAAAAGCACCCACCTAACGGGGCTGTTGTGGGCACACAAAGGGCCACATGTAAAATGGAGGCAAAGGACCTGGTACACAGGAAGCTTCACAGATGCATCTGCTGCCATTCTCATGACCAAAGAGACTTTCCTCTATGCTGTCTTCTTAGGGGAGGGAAAAAGAGGTCACAGGGGTAAGACAAAGCTCGGCCCATCCCGGCGGCCAGCTCCAACACCACAGTAGGTGTCTATTCAGGTCCTCTTGGGGGCAGAGGCCCAGGCAGTCCCAACTGCCCTGGGGGCCTTGAGACATCTGCCTGCAGGACCCAGGCAAGGGCCTCAGGTGCCCTGGGGGAACTGCTGGACTGTGTGTCTGTGTCTGTATGTGTCTGTGTGTGTGTGTGTCCATGTGTGTTTGTATGTCCGTGTGTGTGTGTCCATGTGTGTCTATGTATTTGTGTCATTGTATATCTGCGTGTATATGCACAGCGGCATGTGTGTTGTGTTGGCAGGGCTGTGACTGCATGCCCATCAGTATGAGGCCATGCCGGTCCAGTAGGGCAGCTCTCCCCATGCCAATGCCCCGCAGATGCTGGCTTGATTGCACAGGCAGGAGGGGGAGGAGCAGTCCTAGACCTCCTGCTCTGTACACGTGAAGCACGGCCTGGTCATGGGGCCCTGTAGCCCCTCTTTGAGGGAGAGGGCTACATGCGGGAGCATGCTTGTATAGGACACCCACTCCCAGGCTGCCCCAACCACTACCAGATACCCTCCAGCACAGAGCCCCAGACCCCCTGCACAGATGGAGAAGCTCCTGAGAGCACAACTTCCCCTCAGTGAGACTCAGAGACCCCCCCCCCCAATCTGTCAGCCCAGGGATTAGCAGACCCAGGCTTGGGAGGAGGTGGTGCAGCTTATGGTCTCCATGCACGTGAACCCACACCAGGAATGAGGCATATCATTATGGCAGGATTAGAAACTAGAGAGTGCTGTGTGCACACACGCATTTAATAAGGTCAGTAGCAGCAAGTGGCAGGTCAGCGGCCGGCTGGCACATGAAGCCGTGGAGCCCCGCTGTCCTCCTGCAGCCGCAGAGGCCCCTGGAAACAGCGACGCTAGACCCAGCCGGGGAGGGGGAGCATCTCCCGCTGGGGCCTTCCTCGCCTGGGCACCACAAGGCTACTCATTCTGCCTGAGCGTTGTACCCAAATCTTCCCCACCGAGCATCCCTCAAAGTAAGATGCACTCTCCAGACTCCAGGCTCTCAGGGTTTGACCCTCTGCTTGGAAGAGAAGGGGTGATCGATTGTACTTTCCACAACTATTCATGTGCTATTAATCTGTTATGCTCCCTGGGGACGTGTGCCCAGGTGACACACACAGACAAGAGGCTTAGAAAGCCCATAGGGAATGAGCTTCTGGAGAGCTCCAGCTCTAGGGCAGCCTAGGGGGTCACCCCTGATCAGGATAGAGAGTCACATGGGAATGCTGCCCCTAGGGCCAAGCAGGGAGATCAGGACAGCAGCCCTGCCACTTCTCCCTGCCCCTCAGGCCCCTGGGCGCCCACCCACTCAACTCCTCAGAGCTGGCCCTGGATGCCAGCCTCGTCCTTGTAGCTGAGGACTGCCGGTCCCCTCTCTTGGGGCCTTTGGTTGCCTCCTGGGTCTCAGCCTCAATTGTCCGTTCCCGCATGTGTACCAGGGGAGTCCCCAGGAGTGCTTACATGTACACATACTGCAGTTCCAGGCAAGCCCTCTGAGGGCAAAGGGGGTCTCTCCGGTGGTCCCCGCACACATTGAGATCACAGGGAAGGCAGCCCTAGACACAGCCATATGGGAATGTGACTGCTCTCTCCCTCCGCCAGCTGCCTTTCCACAACATCCGCTGAGCACTCGCCCCAGGCCGAACTCCAGCCCTGGGCACTGGGGAAGCAGCAGACCTTACAGATCAACCCAGCCCTGGGAGTTGAGGGAGGAAGATACTCACCGTTCCACAGATCTGGACAGGATGGCAGACAGGGTGAGCAGGATGCATCCGTAGGGTCCTGCTTCAAACTGAGAGGGGACAGAGGACTGAGTTTCCATCCAGGCTGTACCTCTCTCCTCCCACTTCCAGCCCTGTGTGGGGGTCACACCCAGGGAGCAGCCTGGTCCTAAGGGTTCCCAGGTGGACCTAGGGCAGACCCCTAAAGGATGGGGGTGCACTAGCCTGAGTGACACCGGGGACAGAGTGTGGTGATGCAGGGGCTGCCATGAAGCACGTCCACAACCTAGGATTCCTCAAAGCCCACGGGACAGCGGCAGTCACGGCAGACCCCATTATGGCTCAAGTGTCTTATGGGCATTGTCACCCTGGGTACTCTAATAGACTTGGGAAAGCACTATTATTGCTGCCCTCTACTACCTCAGGAACTGGGGCTTGGAAAATGAATAACTTGCCAAGGCCACAGAGCTTGTCAGCAGCACAGTGGAATTCTAGGGGGCTCATGTCTAAGTCCAGAAGCCTTACTCTGAAGAACCGCACTATGCTGAGAACAACAGAGAGCAGGTTTGGAGCAGAATTGGGATGGGGGTGAGGCAAGGGAGAAGGACTGTGCAAGCACACGTCTTTTGAAAAATTTTTGATATTTTGACCAGGTGTGGAGGCTCATGCCTGTAATCCCAGCACTTTGGGAAGCTGAGGCAGGAGCATTGCTTGAGCCCAGAAGTTCGAGGCCAGTCTAGGCAAAAATAGGAGACGATATCTCTATAAAAAACTAAAAAACTAGCCAAACAAGGTGGCACACACCTGTAGTCTCAGCTACTTGGGAGCCTGAGGGTGAAAGATTGCCTGAACCCAGCAGGTAAAAGCTGCAGTGAGTGGGGATAATGTCTCTGCATTCTAACCTAGGCAACAGAGTGCTACCCTGAACCCCCGCAAAAAAAAAAAAAATTAATATTTTGCTCATCATAGATTTCTCTGGATTAATTTTGATTTAAAATATATTATTTGTACTGACTTCTGGGCCTATGGGCACCCCCTTGGATACTGCATCCAAAGTGAGTGTCTCACTCTTGTCCTCATCTGACCCTGGTTTGGAGCCCATGTCCTGAGGCCTGGCAGCCTGGGTTTAAATACTGGCTCTGCCACTCCTAGCTATGTGACCACAGGGACGTTTCTTAACTCCTCTGTCCTCAGTCTTCTCATCAGTAAAACTAGGAGAACAATCATAGCACTTACCCTCATCAGGTGGTTGTGAAAATTACTTGAGTTTATCCTTATAGCACACTTAAACAGGGCCCAGCACCTATGTTAGCTGTTAGTGCACAGCTGGCTTCACACTGCCCACCTGCGGGTCACAGCTTACTGGGATGGACCGTGTCACCTTTACTCCCTGGAGAAACACCACCCCTCAGCTGCCAGTCAGTGTGAAGGCCTCACACATCACACAGTGGGGACCACAAGCTGTGGCTGGAGATGCTGCCTGTTATAATAATCAATGTTTCTTTTGTATAATCAATTTCTTTCTATTTTAAACTAGAAAAAAAAAAAAACCTGTTTCTCCTGGAACAGTCAATGAGAACTATACAATTTATTATATTTCAGCTTTTGCCTTGGCTCCCAAGAAGCTCAAAGCCACATATGGTGTCCTATTGTGATAACCATGCAGCTCAAACATCTGGTAAAATTATCTTTCCTTTTCCTCAAAATATAGTCTTGATTTTCATCCACTAATTCAACCAGTCAATCGATCAGACATTTTAAAAAACTTACCAGTGAAATTTCTGTGCCAGGAGGATGCTCCCTACTAAGGCTGCACTTGTGAACAAGGTGGGCACAGATCTGCCTCTTGGGGAAATAACTCAGGGAAGAAAAAACAATAGACCACTTGAAAAGCGTGGGGGAAGCCGGGCTTGGTGGCTCAGCCTGTAATCCCGTGCCTTTGGGAGGCTGAGGTGAGTGGATTGCCTGAGCCTGCGGGTTCGAGACCCGCCTGGGCAGCAAGACCTCATCTCTACAATAAATCAAAAAAATCAGCCGGGAGTGGTAGCGCATGCCTGTAACTCCGGCTACTTGGAAGGCTGAGGCGGAAGGATCGCCGGAGCCCAGCAGGTCGAGGCTGCGGTGGCCAGGAGCGGCCACTGCACTCCAGTCTGGGCAACAGTGAGACTCCAACTCAAAAAAAAAGAAAAGCGTGGGGAATGGGCTCTGCCATGATGGAAACACATGCTTCTCTGGAAACACACAGGAAGGGCCTTCAACATAGACTTGGAGTTTGTGAAGGGAAGGAGTGTCCAGGAAGGCTTTCTGGAGAAAGTGATGTCTGAACAGAAATCAAAGGGACAAGCAGGAATTCAAAGAGGAGCAAAGACCACTCCAGGCAAGAGAAGACACACACCCAAAGGCCCAGGAGCAGGAGAGGCCAAGCTGATTCAGCAGGAGGAGCAAGGGCCCTGAGGACTCTCAACACACCTGCGTTTTCTTTTATACACAGCTTCAAGTCTTTTTTTGGAAGTAGAAATGGAATGAATGAATCAACAAGTCTTAAATCAACCTCATCTTAATTCTGTGATCTCAGGCCAGCCATTCACTGCTGTTGCCCTCAGTTTCCCCATTTGCAAAATGAGGACAATGAAGATCTGCCCTTGGCTTATGGAGCATGTTTGATGAGACATCAGTGGAAGTGCTCTGACGGTCGCAAATGTTGACGTCCCCACACAGGGGGTACAAGGCCTGAGAACTTGGGCCACCAGCCCCTTATCACAGCTCTGTTGCAGACTTGCAGGCTGCCCAGGGAAGTTCTCTCGGTCTCAGTTCCCCCTTCCTTAAAACGCCTACTTATTCTGCCACGAACTTCCGTCTCTCCTGGGGGAAATCACAAAGCATTCTTGGTCTCGATTTCCCCTTCTGAAATGCCTGCCTACTTCTGCGTGGATGTGTACATTGTCTTGGGCAGTTCGGGCCTTTCTCAGTCTGTGGTTTGTCTCCCCCCCACCATGCGTGTGCTGCCTCCCCACCTGCCGGACGGAAGACACTGTGGACACAGAAGCCCGCACAGGCCTGACTCTCTCTGCAGATCTGGGGCACTGGTACTACCCTTTATGCAGCATGTCCCCAGTCCTCAGAACACCCTCAGGGAGACTCCCCTGATCCTGGACATGGCCCTCTACAGAGGGTGGGGAGGTACACCCTGTTTGGACTTCTTGCCCTTGCCAGAACACAGCTGAATGGCACCAATATTCCATTTTGTTTTTTAAAACTTGTATTAAGATTTTTAATATTATCTCATCACATGCAGCTGCCAAGCCATGGGAGACCAAGGGCAACACGACCATACTGAAAGGCAGCTCAGGCAAGGCACTTGGGCTGGAAACCACCATCAGGGTCTAGAAAAACATCTGGGTGCCGCCTAGGAAGAAGGGGCCCTTCTTCCACATGGCTCTGCGGGCCAAGATGCCTGAGCCCAGCAAAGAACCCCAGTGGAAGGCAGGGGCGGGGGCGTCCTCAGGCTGACCGAGGGCCTGCCAGACACCTTGCCCAGAGGGTGAGCGGTAATGAAAACACAGCAAGGAGGCTATTTATTTGGGGCAACATTGGCTCGGTGCACATTTCCAGGCCTGGCATGAGGAGCCCCTCTTAGGCCCAGGCCATGAAAAATGAATTTGGTGAGGGTAGTGCTGAGGCAGCTCAGCTGCTTCCAGAAAAAACAGAAAGGAAACTGCAGGGGAGGACACTGCCTTCCAGCGTGAGGGGGTGCAGATACTAGCCATCTGTGCCTAGGATCACAGTGGGCAGGGCAGGGGACTGCTCTGAGCCAAGAGGCATTACTGACACAGGCAGCCCCTCACCCAAAGCAGACCCCACTCTCAGAACCCCTTTCACAGTCATTGTCTTGCTTAGACTTCACTGAGACCCTGGGGTACAGGCTGATGGGGGGAGCCCCCACCTTCTAGACAGGGATGCAGAGGCCCTGGTGCTAGGGAGCCACTCAAGGCTATGAGAGGGTGGTTACAAGCCTCAGAACCTATATCATTAGAGCAGTCACCCCTGGGCCCCTCCTGGTCCCTAGAAACCTCACCAGTCACTCCCTTCCCTGGCCCAGCTGACGGTGTGAGCAGGCGCCCTCAGTCCTGCCTCCCCAGTCCACTTGTGCACACAGAGATCACCAGTCTCTGCTGCCTCCCGATGGACTGCTGCGTTCCCATAACGCTCTGGACTGGTGGTGGTGGGCCTCCTTCCTGCTCACTCAGAATGCTGGCACTTCATCTGAAGAGCATCCTTCATATGTGTCTAAGGTTCTTCTTTGAGAACCATGGTTAAATAGTGAAGAGCTGGAAGTTATCTATAACGCTCCATCTTTCACTTTCCAGGTGAGGAAACTGAGGCTCAGCAGCTTTCCCAAGGCCACAAGTGACTGTGGAATAAGCCAGAGGTGGTTTCCAGGCCCCCTGCTCCTGGCCTCCTACCACTCTAGGCAGATGGTGAATGCACAGCATTGGCAGACGCCTGTTGGGTTACTCAGATGAGAAAACGGAGAGTCAGGGAAGGAAAGGAAGTGACAACCAGCCAGGGCTCCTGACACCTGGGTCAGGACTTTCCTTCCCACACAGCTCTGCGGCAGGCCAGAGAGAGCAAGCCCTGCAGAAAGGGAGTCATCCCAAGCTGCGCTTCTGTGCCAGGCCCCAGGCCTCTCCTGGGTCTGGTCCTCACAAGAGGTAACAGCCCTGGGATGAAAGGACTTTAGGGGATTGGCGCAGATTACCTCACACCTGTCTCCCGTTGTCCTCAGGGTGACCTGCTTATGAGGGCCTGATTGTTTCCCAGGGCTGTGCCAGGCCTTCAGGGTCTTAGGAGGAAAGTGCTGGAAAGGGTATTCTTTACGGCAGATTCCACATCTACCAAGTCCTCTCACCCTCCCAGCTCACCACCAGATCCTCCTAAGAGTGGATCCCAGATCCAGAAGGATGAAGGAAAGGCACAGGAAGACTCAGAGATCTGCCTGCAACCAGGAGAGGGATGCCCCGCTCTTTCCTTCCTCTGATCCTGATGCACAGACGTCAGGACTGTGAGGTCCTGTGGTGGACCCCCTGGCCTAAGCTCCCTGGCACCCTCCCTCTACAATGCTTCCTGCCCATTTCTACGTGCCTACAAGTAACCCATCTCAAGATCGCCCTTAAACCATCATGACAATGGTGCCCATAAGGCCAACAGAAGCCAATGATGATGAGGACATCAAGGCTCAGTGGTCCTGGGCACCCTCCACAATGCTCTGAGGTAAGCACTATTATTCACGCTTTTCAGATGAGGAAACTGAGGTACAGAAGGAGTGAATGAGTTGCCGAGGTCACAGAGCGACTACAGTGTAAGCCTAGATCCAAGGCCAGGCGACAGCTCCAGAGACATGTGTTTTACCCCTGGGATGCACAACCCCATTCCACCCCAAAGCTGGGAGGTCACAGCCCTGCCCTGTCTGCCTGGAGTCCTTGGGCTCTGCTACTCTCTGGCCCTAGCCATGACCTGCCCACCTCACAGCCAAGAGTAGATGTGCAGCTTTCCTCTGGCAGAACTGAACCAGCCTGCTCCCAGGGATACCCAGCAAGGTCTCCATCACACTGCTAAGGCCCCCAACCCATCCCAGGGAGCCAGTTTCTTGCCCACCCCTCACCCCCCCAGCTGGTCCCAGGCCCACTCCACTGACAAAGAGTCCTGACTTCCAGAAATGGTTGCTTCCCCTCGGACGGAGAGACGTTCTGGTGAGCACCATCCAGCAGCCACCTCCCCTCAACCTGACTCTCTGCAACCCTGGTCAAGGTTGCTCACTGGGCCTTGTCTCCAGGCCCCGCCCTCCAGGATGCAGTGGCAGAGACTGCCCCAAGTCCACCCTTCTTAGCCTTAGTCACCACTGTCCTTAGCTCCCCAATGGGCCAGAGTTGGCTCCTTTCTGGGAGGGGGGAAGGAAAACTCCAGACCCCAGGGTCTCTTCCACAATGACATCAGAAGGCTTAGCAATGAACCTTCTCCAGAAAGAAACCCCATTCATACCTGATGAATGCTGTGTTGGAGAAAAGTCACCAGCTCCTCGTAGCAGGTCAAATTGTACAGTATGACCTGACAAGAAGCAAATACACAGCGTGAGCAGCTCAAGCCCCCGGGGACAGGGACAACCCTGTACTGGATTAGCTGCTTGGACGGTCCCTGCATCAGAAAGCAGTGTTCTCCGGGCTGGGTCTGAGAGGCACAGCTGAAGGGCTGGCCCAGCCTGGAGGGCACTGCTGGGGTCACATCAGCCCTGCAATAGCCCTGGGCCTCCCTCCAGGGACCCCAGGATCCCAGCATTCTGCGTGGCCCCTGCAGGGGAGGGCGAGTCACTGTCCACCTGGGAGGGGGTTGAACGGAGCTTGTGCCACGCCCAGATCACTACAGTCAAGCTAGGTCAGAGCTCAGCGGCTGTGTCCTGAGTTAAGTGGGAGGCAGCAGTTATGAGCCTCCTTCGCGTTCTCAGGCGGGTCAGGAAAAAACACTTTTAGGGAAAACATTCAACAATGTGAGACCTTTAATTAGGGTCACAGGGCCACACGTGCCCAAACCTAGGTCAAATGAAACTAATTTGTTAAAATGAAAATTCTCAGTGAGGAGGTGGCAAGAGGTCGTTGAAAAACTTAAAAAATGCAAACACGTCGGCCTCTCACGTTTTCCTTGCTGTGTGTTACTTGGGTCTGGCTTAACGCCCAGGTCAGTGCCCATGCTGTCCAAGCTCCTCCCACTCTCTAACACCCTCTCCCTCTCCACTCCCCATCCCCCATAATAACCCTCAGGAGATGCTGAGAAATGTGAAGAGGAACACAGAAAAGGTGGGGTTCAGTCAAGGCACTCTGTGCGGGCTGCTGGTGGATGGCAGCTTTGCAGACACTCTAGGTGACAGGGAGCTACTCGGCCTAGTGGCCGTAAAGCCAGCTCTGAAAAGAGCCTGTCCACAAAGCCACCCCACAGCTTCCCCACCCCACCTATCTCCCAGGACAAGGATTCTGTGGGCCTGGGCTGCGAGGGGACAGCCCATCCCCAGCTGGGGAAAGATTGATTTATGTGAAAGGAGACCATCCCCAAACAAAGCCAAAGGTTGCGTGATAATTTTCCAGAAAACCGTACTGTTTCTAAGACGCCATCTGCTTTGTATTTCCCGGCTGGACTGAACTGCTCTGTTTCCGAAGCCCTAAAAAGGAAAGGAAGGTGCATGAGGCCTCCGGTCCTCCTGTGGAGAGAAGACGCCCTCCAGCCAGGGTGAAACCACATGTGTCATTAAATGAGGACAAATAAGAAGGTGGCTCCAAAGAGAAGAAAGAGCCAAGGGTTTCTCATTTTTCCCCACTTTGAACTCGCCACTAGGCTGGGTCCAGTGAATGCCAATAGCGGAATTTTTTTTTTTAAAGGAATGGAAAAAAGACGGCAGAGGGAGAGCTTGGAATAACCAAGCCCAAGCCCTGGCAGTAGGAAGTCTGACTCTCAACTATGGTCGACAAATCTATTTCCAGACTGCAGAATGCTGACGGGCCCGTCATCTTCCTTGACGAGTGGAATTCCTGCCTCTGTTCTCTCTGGGGTTCCCTGGCACTACCCCCAGCATCTTTGACACAGTACCCACTGGGTGTGCAGCCCAGTACAGCGGGGACTAGGAGCAGGGTTTGGGTTTGGGGCCCACTGTGCCACTGGCTGTGGTATAACCTTGGACCAGCCATAGTCCTTCTCTGGGCTTCTATTTCCTAATCTGTAAAACAGGGAGAAACTGAAGTCCTGCCCCATCTGCTCACAGGTTACCCTGCAGATCCCAAGGGCTGGGGTTATAAGTTAACTGGAACCTAAGTACCAAAACCAAGTAATAGTAACAATAACGAAAATCATGATGACACCTAACACTGACATGAGCATAGTACCTGCCAGACACTGTCCTAAGCACTTCATATATATCATTTAGCATCTATCTATATAATGATAAAATGACTTTGATAAATATCACTTTTATATTATTACACCAATTTCTTTACATTGACTCTAGTCAATACACACTAGTAAGTAGTTTTTATTGTCATCCCTATTTTCCAGATGAGTACACAGTTGAGGCACAGAGAGGCTAAGTCAATGACCCAACACAGCCAATGAGCAATAGCAAGAGCGAGCCTCTTAGAATTCCTTCTCCTAAGCTCTATGCCCCCAGAGTGAGTGTGGTCCCTGGGCCCCAAAGTCACCTCCCTTACTAAAGCCTAGCCACATGGCTGAGCCACAGTGATGCTTCCACTCTGACAGGTCAGGCTGAGGGCCAGCAAACCGTCCATGTGGATCACGTGGTGTGGGACAGAGGAAGCAGAGGAGACACAACGCTGGCAGGGAATGTAATCCAGGCCTGGGCTCCAGCCCAGCTCTCTGAGTCTCCTCCTCTATGGAATGGGGACCCAAGTGACAGAGCAAATGCCAGCATGCTTTGGGGACTAGGAAGAGGGGGGGTCACAACTGGCTCAACTGAGGGGCTGTTTCTTGAGGCATCTGGATAAGAGAACTATAGAAGGGAGCTGGCTGCTGGGGCCAGGGGCCGCCCAAGGGGTAGAAGGCAGGGCAGATAGACTGCGCCTTTCGAGATGAGAATCAGAACCCAGGGAGGGCATCACAGAGCCATGTGGAGGGCCTGGGCCTCCCTGGGTGTAAGGCTGCCCAGCAGGTCAGGCTGGCTCTCGGGCTGGTTCTAGAACGTGGCACAGAGCAGGTACTGGAAGAACCCAAGGTCAGGAACACATACAGCTGGCTTGCCTGCAGCTGTGCCAGCAGAGGTCGAGCTGCAGTAGCACAACCCTCAGAACCACTTACAGCGTGATCACAGCTCTCTCTCGGTCCCCCGCCCGCCATACAATGTCAGCGATGGCCAGGACCAGGCAGTGGGTCCTGTGGGCATCTGAAGGGTCCAGCCTCCTGTGGACGAGAAGGGGAATGTGGTTATGCCCAAGGGGACACAAGGCTGTGTGATGGCAACTCTGTGAGCATGTTTAGGCAGCCCCCTTGCAGATGACCTGTCCTTCCCCTGCCCCCCAAGGGGCCACTTGCAGCTCTGGGACTCCAAGGTAGAGCCTGGGAAGGAGGGACCTCTACTGATGAGGGCCAAGGGAGGAGGCTTCCAGGAGGGGCTGAGGGTGGAGCTAGAGGAGGAGGCTGAGCAAAGCACCCATGGGAGCAAAGAAGGCTCCAGAGGTATGGCGGAGCCCAGAAATATGTGAGAGAGGCCCAGGAGGCCCAGCCAGGCGTGCTCAGGAATGGCGGCCATCACAGGCAAACGTGAGGCACTGTCCTGCCCTGGCCTTGGCCATGCCCACATCCAGGCCCTTGGGGACAACCGCTTGTATAGGCAGGTGCTCTTCACTCCCAGGGGCCAAGGGGACAGCAGCCTGATTTGCTGGATACTTAGATACGGGGCATGAGGATGCGAGGGTGGAAGGAATCAAGGCTGACCTCTGTGTATTTGGTGGGCACATGGTGGTGCTGCCAGGTGAGTCAAGGGGTGGGGGCAGGCGAGGAGAGGGTGCCGTGACACAGTCTGAGCCGCTGGAGGGTTTTAAGGTGAACAGGCAGTCAGCAGTATCAAAGTGGCACAGAGCTCTTGTCAAATACAAATGGTAACTAAGAGGCCCCAGTGCATGGAGTGAGTAAGAGGGAAGAAGGGAAACAGCAAACTAGACACATGTCTTTCCATTCCACATTCCCAGGGCTAGTTAGAGATAGACTTCTTGCCCTCCCTGGATTCAGTGAGATTTTAGAAATTCATTCAGAAGCTCGCTCGAGTGGGTCTACCTTCCTAACAAACAAAAGGTCTTGATGAAGATCCTGCTGCAGCTCAAATGAAGAGAGAGGAGGGGGTTCCCTGTTTTCAATACTAAATAACAGCTGTGCCCCATATTGAGCTGTGTAGGGGAAGAAAAATACTGGACTGTGTCCCCATCTCCAGGATGGAAGGGACGCCAGGAGGCCAGGACACACTGCCCACCAAGGGGGCAGCATGTGGTCACTGCCCAGGCCTGGGACAGAAGTACAGTGGTCAGCCAATGACCTACACACCCAGGCTGTTGTGGTCCAATGACTTTAAAATGAGAAGTGACAGGACACAGAGGTCCCTCAGTTTTCCCATCCGAAAACTGGCAATGGTAAATGAACCTCCCTTACAGCTTTATAAGAGATTATATTTGCCCAGTGCCTGGTGTGTTCAATCAACGGGATCCATTACTACTTGTCGCTATGAAAACATCAAGTCCCCACTCGGGCTGTGACAAGGGGAAAGTAGATTCCCAGCATCTGAAATGAAAGTGACACTAAGCCCGGACACTGGAATTCCTTCAAATCTAATGAGACAAGCAACAAGCACTCAAGCACTTGAGAAAACAAAACAGCGGCTGCCTGACAGGGCTTTGGCCTCAGGAAGCCCATCGAGTTCCTCAGAGGAAATCGTTACCGGGCTATCACCAGACCGGAAGCCCGAGCTGGTGGGTGCTGGCCTGGGGCACAGCTCACCAGGAAAACAACGCTGGGAAAACACTGCTCTAGGTCTCAGGAGGCCACACCAAGGACTAAGAGGGCCTAGAAAGCAAGTTTGTCACACAAAGGAGAAAGGATCAGACAGTGATCTCTTTGCATTCAGAGCCCACAGATGACACCATCATTCCCATGGCTCTGGCTTCACACCCTGCCCCCATCCCAGTGATGGCCCTGTCCTGTCACCTGCATGTCCGAGCACCTCACGCCCATTCTTCTCTGCCCCTATCCTGAGTCAGGACATCCTGCCCCTCAGCTGAGCTATCATAGCCAGTGCGCCACCAGCAGCCCTGCCCAATCCCCAATGTACATGCCCACGGGATGGGGATGGCAGAGGGGTCGTCCTACAACACAGGTGTGACCAGTACTCCCAATTAAAACCCTTAATATGGATAGGAGCTGTGTACCTGGGCTGATTTTTCTGCCTAGACCACAGAAAAGCCCCATATTTGGGCCTAAGGAGACCTCTTTCAAACTGTGTTCTACACTAAGCAGAGCAGGGACTCCTCAGTGTAGCAAAAAGTAAGATTTGAAAAGGACTTACCATGTGCCAGATACTTTTGTGAGTACTTTAGATGTATTATTTCATCAAACTTAGATGTATTATTTCATCAAATCCTTAAAACAACCCTAGAAAGGAGGTACTACTATTAACCTCTTTTTTAAATGGGGAAACTTAGGCATGAGACTAAGTGATTTATCCAAAGTCACAGAGTTAGTAAAAAACTCGAAAAAGTAAACATTGAGGAAGGAAGGAGAGTTTAGGGAGGTAGAATCAACTGTCTTGGGCACCTGGTTTTAGGAACCAACATCCCTTTGCCTCAGATCCTGTCTTTTCAGCACCATGCGACACAACCAAGGCATCTTGCTCCTGGGCCCTTGTCTCCCTGATCTCACAAGGTTCTGCTTACAACCACTCTGAACTGCCATGTCTTCATGCACAAGTCCTTGTTCTTTACATTGGCTTACAGCTAGTAACTCTGCCAGTCTCTCCATCCTTCCCTAGGCCATCTCCATCTTTCTCTCTTGAGATACAGCCTTCCAGAAAACACAGTAGAGTTGAAAGAAGTACAGTGGTCAGACAATTAAGAGGGAGGCGTGGGCTGGATTCCCGGCTCTCAGGCCCTGGGGAAGCCCTTCCCTCCCTGTCCTTAGCTTCCCCGCCCAGCTGTAAACATAGACAGCGGGTCAGATGCCCCCTGAGCCCCATTCCGGCCTTGCCATTCTGCCATCTAACCAGACCCTGGACAGACAGGGCTGTGTGTGCTGTGTGGGAGCCTGCACCCGAATGATGACAGAGAAGAAGGCGGGTGCTGCACCACGGTCACTCAGACTCGGCCTTCACCACAGATTAGCATCTGCCTTTGTTGGCGAAACCTCGGTGACAATCAGCTCTGCACTGCCCGTTCAGTCAGACACGGCTGTCAAACTCCTCCCAGAAGGGTTGGCACATGGCCAGGCTCTTAAACCAAGAGAAGTTTCTTTAAGAGTCGAATTCCTCATAGGAGAAGTGCAGGAAGAAGACATTTATCTAGGGATGGGGGGATTAAAGTGTCTAGGGTGAATTATTATTCTGTTTTTGGCTAAATTACCCAAGTGTTTCAGAGGAAATAGCCTCAACTGTCCACCCTCATGTGCCTATGTGGACCAACTCTTCAGATAATTTGAGGGACCTGGCATGAGTGAAAGGCAGTTACTCCACCCTTTCTGCTCCTCTCAGGGTACAAAGCTGTGAATAGACATGGGAAGAAGGCTGGCCTGGGGCCTCAGGACTAGGTGACAAGATCTCACGGGGACTTGGGCAAGCACTTTCCTTCTCTGGGCCTTGAGCGCCTCAATTTCAGAAGGAAGTGGAAATGAGATGAGGACTTCCCTGGACCCCCAACTCTCAGGCCCACATGAACTTGCCTCTGAAGGCACCTCTTGGTCCATGGCTCCCTCCAGGCCTCCAGGAGGAATGGGAGTTCTTCATCTCTTCCCCGGGAACCGAGCTGCGCAATCCCTCCTTAAGTGGAAAAACACGGAGGCCTGCCGCCTGCCTCTGGCCTTCCCGACTGAGGAGAGGCAGGCTGTCAGCCTGATGGAATGAGTATTAATGAAGCCAGACAGTCTTGCAGAAAAAACACCACCCCTGCCAAGAAGCCTTTACTTCAGCATGACTTCCCTGGAGGGCGTGAGCCCATCCTCCATTCTGCTTTCACAGAACCATTTCTCTGTCAGTCGTGCGAGGAAGAGTCTGAGGAATGACAGAGACAGTCCTTCCCTCAGAGCCATGTGAGGGCCCCTGGGCCCACAGGTCCTGAGGTCCTCAGGCCCAGAGTTGGTGAACTGCAGTCACACGACATGGCAGGCCATTGAGGTATTCCTGAAGAGAACAGAGGGCCCTCCTTCCTTTTTGTTTAAGCTGGATCATTCCTGAAATCCTGAAATTTCAGAGTCAAAAGCAGTGCTGATGCCTCACCCAACCCAGCACGTTGCCTGTGGAGAAACACCAACGACCCAGTCAATTAATGTGAAAATCATATAAACAAGTTGAGAAGCAGGACTGAAAGCGGCTTCTACGCACACCATCGAGAGCTTCCTGTGCCGACAGGTGGGCTGCCAGGTATCTGCTGCAGTACTCTCTTGATTCTTCTGAATGGGGTTTCTCTAAATGGGGGTAAAGGGGAGGTTCTGCTGAGAAGTCCTTGGTCACTAGGAGTCTGTATGAGTGCCCAGTGACGTGGTATCTAAAACTCACAGCACCCAGCCTCCCTCGTGGAGGCCCCTCCTGGCCTCCCTGGACCCCCATTGCTCCGTGTCTCCTGCAGGGCACAGCAGCATGGTGTGACAGACAAGTGTCATGTGCCAGTCGCAGCTCTCTCAGGGAGGTGTGTGACCCTGAGCAAGCATCTTTCCCTTTCTGGGCCTCAGTTTCCCCTGCTGAATCATGGCAGGCTGAGTTCAATGGTCCAATTCGCTTGCACAGCCCTTAAAGATTTACAAAAGACTGCATTGTCTTACTGAGTCCAAATTAGGCAGGACAGGGATTACCATTCCTAATTCACAGATGGAAAATGTGAGGCCTTACTCCCCCAGTAATCCGACCTAGTCCAGCAGTCTCTTCACCACCCTCCTGCCTCCCCCCTGGGGTGGGCCCGGGGTGAGCTGAGAGGCACAAAGCTGAGCACTCCCATTCCCAGCCTGGCACTAATACCTACAAGCTAAACCCCACCCACTTCACAAGGGAGACTTTCTGTGACCTTTGACCTACAGGGTCTCAGTAAAACAGCGACAGATTCCACCTCCCTTCCTGTCTCCTGGCCCTAAACACTGGCCTCCTACTCTCCAGCCTTTGCTTGACCCAAGTCCTAACGTGTCCCCAGGAGAGTTCTCTCTTCCCAACCCTATCTACCCGCACCCCCGAGGCAGGCTAGACAGAGGAGTGGGAAGAGAGTCAGTGGGAGAGACAGGGAGGGTCTCCTGGACTTCCCCAGATTGTCCCTCTGGGACACTTCTTCCTGAGTACTTGAAGGCTTTTTCAGAGAGTCCACGACCAAGTCAAGCTCTCCACTCCTCCATCTCACTGGGTATGTAGGATGTCCCCTGAGGCCTGCTACGAGGTCTGTGGTGGCAAGGAGTGGTCTGTTTCCCTCAAGCTGCATGGCAGAATACCTCTGTATTGAGTGTAGCAGGGAGCAGGGGTGCAAGGGAGCAGATAACAAGCAGCACCCACAGGTGCAGGACTCCAGAGAAAGGTGAGGGCACTCTTCCAGAGAAAGGTGAGGGCACTCTTCCACATCACAAATCCTTCCAGGCTCCACAGAGAAGGTAGCCCTGACCAGCAGGCTGGGCTCTCCTGACTGCCTGGCACATATCTCCTCTGCCAGCCAGTCTGTCCTGTGCAGTTGGGCTCCTTGGCCTCAGACACACCCCCACATACAACCTCCAGCAAACTAGCAGCTTTTTCTTCCCTCCTCCTCTGCTCACCCCCACAGCTCCAGGACAGCTGAGCCCCAACCTCCTTGGCCTGCAGACACACACTGACCTGGCCTCTGAGAGAATCTACCCAGGCCAGCCCTAACTCTCCTCTCAGGTCCCAGCAGACAGGGTGTCCCAAGGGCCAAGGCTGCATTTTCTCCTGTCCCCTCTCCCCCAGCACAGCCTGGCAGAACCATCTGTCTAGTAGATACTTAAATAGACACCTGTCAATATAAATTAGGGCCTCGGGCAAAGGTGGTGAGACCCTGCCTGGATGACAGTGGCAGACTGAGAGGCTTGCTCCCCAAACCTTGCTTGGCAGTTTTCTTTCTACCCTGAGCCCCTCTTGGGATCCCAACCTGGATGGTTTTCTGCCTTCCAAACCCTGGTTCTCCTCTTTAGTGTGCTCCCCCCAAGGATGTGACCTGGGCAATACAAAGGCTCTCACATACCCTTAGTGGGCTGGGTGACAAGGAACCAAGCCTGCCTTTTGCTCTGAGCAGACTGGTCATTCCTGGAACCAACTTAAACACTCCGTACTGATTATTGGGAACCACAGCTTCCCCTAGAAATCCAAAGTTGACGTTCAAAGCAATGCTGAAGGGGCACTGGGCCGAAATGAGTGAGGAGACATCTCCCACAAGGGCCAAGGCCAAGGCTTCATCCAAGCAGCTGGCAGTGCCCAAGGCCCCCTGGCAGCCTGGTCCTGACCCATCCAGCACCCCAGGTCCTGCCCTGCCCTTCTACATGCTGCTCTGACCACCCCAGGCAAATTTCTGCTCCTCTCCCTGCCCACAGGCCTTTGCACATCTTGTTCTCTTTACAGGAATACCATTCCGCCTCCCCGCCCTGTTTGTCTGGATAACTCATTCATTTGTCTATGTGTTCATTCAGCAAAAATTCTGAGGGCTTCTTCCGTGGACCAGTCGCTGGGCTGGATGCCAGGGCCCTGGCTGCAAAGCAGGCAGCCAGAAAGGTCCCTGTTCGCATGGAGCTTGTGTTCAGAGGGTGGACAGGAAACTATACTGATGAACAAGAGCACCAACTGGTAGTAGAGGAAGGGCCTGGACTTGGCTTAACTGGGAGGCCAGGGAAGGCCTCCATGAGGTAGTGGCCTCTGCAGTGAGAAGGCCAGCACACAAAGCATCTGAGCATGCAGCACCTGTGGGCCAGGAAGGAGTACAAGGATATTTACTGGGAAGGGGGAAAAATATTGAGGGGGGGAACAAGAGTGTTCAAGGATGTGTCTGAAGGGGAGTCGAGGGTTCTGTTCACCCTTCAGATCTCAGCAAGATTAAAATGTCACTCCTCCAGGAAGCCTGCCCCAACTCCTTCTTGTCCAGGTGAACCCCTAGCATCCTGCACGCCCCATAAGCGCCTGATCATGCATCTGGCTCTCCTGTTCAACTGTGGGTGCCACACGACAAGGCCACACCCATCCTGTTCAGCCCCATATCCCTGCTCGGACCTGGTAAATAAATACACTGCGCATGTTTTTTTTCAATGCAAGGAAGGAAGGTGAAGCTATGTGGGTGTATATCTACTAAGAGAGAATCCCTGTACCCTCTCGAGGCAGACAGGGGTCCCTCACTTAGCAAGTTCCACCCAGTCAGGAGTGTTCCTGAACAGAGGACTGTATTGGCCCCACTCTGGAAAGCTGATGGCAGAGTCTCTGCCCACAACATTTCAACTCAAACCTCCCAGCACTTTGCTGGGTCAAACTTCTAGGGCAGGCAGTGGGAAAGGATTCTGCATGGACAAGCATGACTAAGATGGACCCAGTAAGGAGGGGACAGGGGGCAAAGCGAAGAACAAGGACAAGGTAGGACTTCTGTTGCTGTGCTTGTGGTTTGAGAGGAAACACCTTGATCATTGTTATGTAGAAAAAGTATAAGATGCCAAGCAGAAAAAGCTACCCTCACTTGGACTCTGTCTAAGGCAAAATCATCTATGTTCGTGAAGTGTATTTCCTCTGAGTACTAAGGTCGGCTAGATGTCTCTCCCAGTGAACAGTCTCTCTCCCAGGAATCTGACCATGGATACACGGGTAATGGGCCTTGTCTTGGTACACCTAAGCTTTTGTAAAAAGTTCTGAAATGCTTATTTCAAAGAACAAACACCTTTCAGTAAGGCGCAAAAACTGTCCAAATTAAGTTATGGTTTTACAATCCATTTAATGATAACTTTAGGGAGGAGAATGGGGGTACCTGTGGGGCAGGAGCAGAAGGATTCTTCTGGAGTACTAGAAATATCTTCCTTCTGATCTAGGTGATGTGCTCATGGGTGTGTGTTTTTTGTGATAATTCACTGAGCACAGCATGAATGAGTTGTCCATTATCCTGTATGTATATTTCAACTAGAACTGAAAAAAAAAGACCAAGTGCCAGAGGTTCTGTAGCTCTGAGGATGACTTAGTGCAAGCTGGTAACTGTGCACATAGGAGGGAAAGGAAGCAGCCCGCCTTCTCAGGGAGGCCTCGCTAGCTCTGGCCTGGCAGCACCTTGCAAACTCTCACCTTGGCACCAACTGTGGCACAGGATGATGCTTTCTGTCTCTCAACCCCACTGAGCGTGTCTGGAGCAGAAAGAATGCATCTCATTCTCTGCTGTATCCCTTGTGCCTGCACAGAGATGTTCCAGGAATGTGTGTTGAATGAATGAGAACGAGGTGTCCATGTGCAAACACTTAATGTGTGAAATGGAAACCGAAGGACTTGGGAGTGGAAGCAATGTGTTGCAGGGCTGCCTGGAATGTGTGGTTATGGCTGCTGGCAGGGGGAGAAGTGGGGAGGGAGGGGAGGCCTGGACTCAGTCAAAGGGTCAGCAGGTTGGCGTGTGGGTGGAAGGGACTCAGGCAGCTCGCCTTCTGGGGCAGGATGGACTCGGTTTCGATGCTGTTCCATCAGCCCTCCCTGCCTTTAGAAACAAATGGATGCATGTCCACTTAACACTGGCCCGTGCAGGCCTGTCAGCTAGCCTCCACTGCCCTCTCCTTCCTTGACCTGCAGAAGATGGGAAATATCAGGGAACACACACACTTCCTTGCTTGTTTGTTCTGGACACTTCAGAGAAGTCTTAGGAAAAGAAGCTATTGCCAGAAGGAGCACTGACTTACCAAGCACAGTTGGCTCTGCGCTCTCCTTCAAACAGGAGTTTTTGCAGGACACAGCCTTGGACAGCTGCCAGGACCCCACAGGGACCACCCTGCAAAGAATGACACACATTATGGCCAGCGAGAACTGGCCCAGGCAGAGCTCTGGGGTTCACTAGAACCTGCCCCGCCCACAGGTTCCTCCACAGTGTCACTCCCTCTGAAACAGGGATCTCTGGTGTGGCAACTGCCTCTGAGTTGACACTGAGCCACAGAAAGGGGGTGACAAAGCCCCAGCACCCACCCCAGAGGAAGGGGCCAGTTGCAGTATGTCACGGGAAGAAATGACTCTTCATAACCAGTCAGGTGTGAAGCCAGGGAAGTCACCACAGTTTCCCATCATCTAGGGAAGTGCTTCCATGTCCACAGGTTGAGGGTGTTGTCTCCCATCCAAGTACTAACCAAGCCCGACTCGGCTTAGCTTCTAAAATCAGATGAGATTGGGGGCATTCAGGGTAGTATGGCCATAGACAGAGAAGGTTGTCCACCCAGCCTTCAAGACCCATCCTGAAGACCTTCTCCACCAGGAAGCCTTCTCTGCCCATCTCATCAGGTCGTGAGTCCCTTAACAGGCTTCACTTACGTGAGCTCTCCTCTGCCCAGCTTGTGGCCCATTAGATGTGCCTTTGTCCCTTCCCATCCAATAGTGCAGGGGCTCCTTGAGGAGCTCATCCCCATAGGCATCATGGGGCTTAGCACAGGGCCTGGCCCCCAGGACACATCAGCAAAGGCCAGTGGGACTGAGCAGCATGTAAAGAACCTGAATCCAGGTTCAAGGGTTGTTAGGGTGGCAGGCTGAGCTTGGCCACACAAGAGCAGAACAGAAGCTGGTGATCTTGGGGAGCTTCCTCAGGAAGTATGGGGCAGAGAGGCTCCTGGGGCTTGAGAAATGGAACCAAGCTGAGCTACCCTACTCCAGCTGCTGATTCTCTGACCCAGATTTAGCATTTCTTTTGGTCCTTAGTGAGTATAACTCGGGAACTAAGGCACATTCAGAGCCTGCCACTACTGACCTATGTTTACCCGGCTTCTGTCACCTCCTCCTTTTCAAGCACCTGCTCCACACACTTGATCCCTCTGCCTTTCCTGCAGCCCTTGGACACCTGCACAGCCTTCACGCATGCTGCCACCTGACTGGGGTGTCCTTTCTCCAGTTCCACCTGCAAAATTCTGTGCATCTCTCAACACTCAGCTTAAGAAGAGCCCTCTGATGCCCCTGAGCAGACACAGGACCTCCTCCTCCTTTTCACCAAGGGTGCCAGCACCTGCACCACTCACAGCAAGTGCTCCTTAAATTCGTGTTCAGTTTGAACCTCTCAAAGCAGAGGATCTTGTTCCCCAGCTCTCTCGCTCCGTCAGTCACATGTAAATTACCTGCACCAAATGACAACTCAGCACATGTGGGGCTGGCTGGTCCAGAATAGCCCATCTAATGCTTGCAGGATTTACCAACATAGGGAGGTACCCTGCCACACACACACACACACACACACACACACACACACACACACACACACCCCTAGATTTACCAACATAGGGAGGTACCCTGACACACACACACACACACACACACACACACACACACACACACACACACACACACACACCCCTATGTGCGATGGCCCTGCAGGAACGTTCCTGGGAAACTGAACCTACCTTGTTCTGTACAATGCCATACTTTAATGGGGCTGTGTTATTAAAGGAAAAACTCTGAAGTTTCCATTCTTCATTGAAACAGCAAGAGGTGGAACCAAACAGAAGGGTCTTTATTTCCTATAAAAAGAAGAGGGAGTTGTATCAGTTGTTTTAAAAGCAAACAACAATACAGTGCTGGCTGTGCGTGTTCCCACAGGAGGTGGTCTTGAATTCTAGCAAGGCAGTCCATTTTTTAGCAGGGTTATCTTTTTTTTATTTTGCAAGCCCATTCTTCTCATATTTGAGGAAAGAGAAACTCGACCCTGAGGGTCTTACCTCTGGAACCTCTTTAAGCCAAACCAGCTTGAGCTGACATGGGCCAAAATCATGTAGGCTCCTTACAGAGACCTTGAAACACAACATTTTAGTGTTGCTAGGGATCTTGGAGGTCATCTGATCCTCCACAGAAAGACTGGAGGTTTTCAAACCCGCCCCCATATTAGAATCATCTGGGGAGCTCTTAAAAATAATCCCAGTGCTCAGGCAACATGCTAACCAATGAAACCCAAATTGCTGAGGGTGAGACTCCAGTATCAGTGGTTTTTAAAGTCTCCCAGATGATTCCACTATGCAGTTAGGCTTGAGAACCAGCGCTCCAGAACAGGATTGGCAAACTATGACCCATAGGCAAAATTCGCCCCCACTTGTTTTATAAATAAAGTTTTATTGGCACATCTGTTTACATATGTTCTATGGCTGTTTTCACATCACAACTGCCAAGATGAATAGCTGCAGCAGAGAATGCCTGGACTAGAGAATGCCTGGCCAGCAAAGTCAGAAAAATACTACTGAGTCCTTTACAGAAAGTTTGCTGAAGCCTCTAGCACAACCCTTTAGCATGTGTAAGAATCCCCTCTACAATGCCTCCAGGACTGGTCTCCCATAAGCTCCATTTGAATACCCCAAATACCCAGTGAAGGAGTTCTCACCACCTCCCAAGGCAGCCCCTCCGGTTCTTCACAACTTCATCTTTTAAAATTCTGGCTGATAGTGAGTTCACTGTTTATCTCCCATTAACCAAAGCATACCCTCCAGAGCCCCAGAAAACATCAATCCCTTCCCCACTAACAGGCAAATATAGAGGTATATGAGTTCCCTATTGTTGATGTAACAAAGTATCACATGCTTAGTGGTTTAAGAACAATACAATTTAGTATCCTATAGTTCTGGAGTTCAGAGGTCTGAAATAGAGTTTAGCAGGCTCAAATCAAGGTGCCAGCATTTTTCTTCTGGAGGCTCTAGGGGATTATTTTTTGCCTCTAGATGTCACGTGCCCTGGGCGCTCCTTTCCTCTCTGTGGGTCTCTCCTCTTTCAGCTGCTTTTGGAGATGCTACTGTTGTGTGGTCTTTTGGAGCCTCGAAGGGTCCTTCCCCCGCTGGGAGTGCCCTCTGCAAAGAGCCATAGCCCTGTGGCTGCTGGCAGTCGAGCACTTAGTCCAGGTTTAAGATCATTTAAATGTGTCTGACCCTCTGTGGTTTCAAAAGAGGGAAAGGAAGGAGAGGAGAGGGGAGATGAGGGTGAAGGGACAAGGGAAGAGAAGAATAAAACCTCTAGAAAAAATCTTTTACTTTTTGATCTGTGTGCTAAATTAAGTGGGAAGAGAAGGAACTCAGCCATATCCCCAGAAGTTTTATTTTTTCCACCTGGATGCTGGTGAGAGAACTGTGGGAATGGTGGTCACAGGGAGAGGTGAGGCCATCCTGGTAGCGGATGGCAGCGTGTAGCCCAGGATATCCCCGCAGAGGCTGCCACAGCCAGGAATCTGCTCCCTGGGGCTCCAGATCGAAGGAGTGCTGAAGACCGCCAACCCCTCCCTGTCCTTCCCACCCTGCAACTCAGCTGAGGACCAGCTTAGGAGACCAGCACAGGTGCAGAGCTGCTTAGTGGGGACAGTTGCCTCATTCCCATCACTCACTGGCAGTGCCATTAGGGATGTGGTGAAGCAGCTCTGGGCCAGAAAAAAACTGGGCCTTGCCATGTTTGGATGGGGAGGATAAAAACTCCTCCCTCGCCTCTTGCCTTGGAGGGGGATGGGAAGCTGCCAGGGCTACAGCATAGCTTTCCTGACCAGTCAGGTTTGCTTCACACCCAAATTTCCGTTTCACCAATGACCAAGAGATTATGATGACATGGATTAGCCCAGGAATATCAGAATCACATCATCCTCATTGGTTCAAATCAAGATGCATTTAGCACAGAGTCTCTTCACAAGCCTAAGTACACACCTACCTTTGCTAGTGAGAGGTTGATGGGTTTGAACGATATCTGCTCGAGCACTGATTGGACTGAGGACAGGAGGGCCCCTTCCTCTCTCAGTTCATCCTCCACATCCTCTGAAAGAAAATCATGGCCATGTGAGCCCCTTGTTAAGACTCACAGGGGACAGAATATGAAGCCACTGAGAAGCATGGACATTGATAAGTTTGGAGAAGGCTTGAGTGAAAGGAGAAGAAAGGAGGCTCCTCCCCCACATACCCACTCTGCTGCGGGGCTCCCAAGCCTTCAGCAGAAGGAAGGAAAGCAGTTTGAGAGAACTTGCCCTGTCTCAACCCCTCCCTGCCTGTGCCACTAGGATGCTGTTGGGTGGGACTTGGTCCACTAGGAAGCTCCACTCATGGATGTACAGTGAAACAAGTGCCTGGGCCCAAGCCCTCGTGCCAGGCCAGGAAAGTCTGGCTTAGGTACATTTCTCAGAAAAGGTGCCCAAGACTCACAGGTTCATCCCCTAAGGACAAACATGAAGAAGTCAGAACTAGGAAAGAAAATGCAATCATTCCTAATAGAATAATAATAGATTATCATTATTGTAGCTTACATTTATTGATCATTTGGATTTTATCCCCTAACCCCCATAACAGCCGTAGGAGGGAGTAATTATGATTACTAACCCCATTTAGAGAGGAGGAAACTGAGGCCTAGAGGAGGAATTAAGTAACTGGCCCCATGTCAAGCAAACAGAAAGTGGCAGAGACAGGATATAAACTCGGCGATTCCTAGTCACTCTGTCGTCCACCTCCTCTGGACCTCCAGAAGGGGACACTAATATTCTAGATGCAGTCATCTCACCGTGGGGCAACTGAAGCCCAGAAAGGGTCCCACCCAAGTCTTTGGCAGCTCTAACCTATGACTTCCCGGCTGGCTGAGGGCCCCTTGCCATTACACCCACAGCCACTGCATTCACCAGAACACTCAGATAAGGGACCCAAGGAAAACAATGCCAAGGCAACGGTGCTGGCAAGCTAAGCAAGGCAGACTCCAGAGGGCAGCTGCGTCTTGCCTCTGTGAATCCCACTCCCTGGAGGAGCCTGCCAGAGTGGGCCTGTTTGGGGAGGGGCATATCGAAGGCTGACATTCCCAGGACACATATTTTATATTTTATTCTACAGCAGCCACAGCACAAGGCAACTCCTAGAGACTTCAGGCCCCTGAACAAGCAGACAGGTTCCAACTTTGGGCTGAAAAAAAAAAAGTCTGGAATTTAAATTAGAATCGGAACTTACATGAGAACGCTTCTTAGTTTGGGTCTCTGAAAAAGCTACCCAGTGACCACGGCCATACACAAATGACCTGAAATAAAGACCAAAAGTTCGCCCAGTACAAGGGTGGGTCTTAAAAACATGGTGCTGGGCAGAAAGTGAGAACCCAAATGAGATGTATAACTCAATATCATTTACAACGAATACATGCGCACAAAAGAGTACTCCACATTTTGCAGGAATATACACAAGAAAAGGATATATGCTAAGAGAATGGTTGCTCATGGGAAAGGAAGGTAATGAAAAGATGGGGTGTAAGGCTGAAGGAAATAAGGAAGGAAAGAGGGAGAAGGGGGAGGAAAGAGGGAAAGACAAGGGGGAGAGAGGGAGGCTGCCGGGCAGGCTTTGCAAAAAGCAACACTGGGAATGTTCTCTGGAGGAACAGAGATGTGTGATTAATTCCACTGTACCACCCAAGGACCCAGCCAAAGGGGCAGAGTAACCAGAGATTATATCAGACCCTGGAGGGCTCCTTGCAACACCTTGAGTCAGACTGTTTCCTAAGGCACAGAGGGACAGTGTTTAAGACTTTCTGGAGAACTCTGTTTAGTCTGAGGTTATCAGAAAGGAAGCCAGGCATGACATACTTTGTCAGGCCCCATGAAGTAAGACTGGGAATGGAGGCTGGACCCCAGGGGAAGCAGACCCCAAGGGAGCATGGGTTGGAGTAAGGGGCCAGAGCAAGCCCCCAGAGGGAGGCCGCCTCCCTCGGCTTCCACAGGGGGTTGGCCCCCATGCAGGGAGTGAGTTCAGGACCACATAGCAGGTTCGGGCCCAGATGTGGAGGGACTGCCATGCAAGGGAAAACAAGTCTCCAGAATGACACATTGGCCAGGCAGGCAAAACAGTCTACAAATGCCAGTGGTTTGAGAAAGCTATTTTAAAGTCTCTAGTATAAATGTCTGGTTGAAAAGAAGCAAGAGGTTTTGGTTCCCATACCATTTTATGTACCCTTTGGAGGAAATTAGATAGGTAGACAGCGAGATGACAGACAGATGATAAATAGATGACAGATCAATTAGATAGGTAGATGATAGGTTGATAGATGATAGACAAGAGAGACAGACAGACAGATAGATAGATAGATAGATAGATAGATAGATAGATAGATAGATAGATAGATAGATAGATAGATGATAGATGGATAGACAGACATTGTATTTCATTTCAAGAGGGAGTCAGAGATACCAAGGGGAAGCCTGCTCAGTATTCCCACTGAACACAAGATACCTTCTGGGAGAACACCAGAATCTCAACACCCCTCCAGGCTTCAGTCCCAATAAAAGACTCCATCTCTCCTCCACTTCTCCACCAGTGACCCAGGCTAAAACCTCAATCCTTTCCCACCACTGTGCCACTCTAGCCTCTGATTATTCTGCCTCCAGAATGTCTAATATCCTGCCCTATCTCCCGCCTTTCTCTCTCCACAGTTACAGGAACATGTCTTTATCTTTCTATTTACTCATCAAGTGCTTTTTTGAGCACCTGTGATGTACTAGGATGCTGTAGGGCAGAGGAGGTCCAGAGATGACTAAAGGCTTCATCCCTGCCTTCAAGGAGCTTGCTGCCCAGAGGGGAAGACAGAGCCCCCTAAAAATTATAACTCAATAAGTGCTGAAACAGGGATGAGCACAAAGGTTTTAAAGAGCCATAAAGGAGTAGGGAAACTTTCCATAAGAGGTGGTATTTGGGCAAGTCCTGAAATACCCATAGGATTTTCTAGATAACAGGAGTCTCACCACCTCTTTTCTGGACTATTTCGAGAGCCCCTCACCAGTCTCCCAACATCCAGGCTCATACCCCTAAAACCTATCCTATGCCTAAGTCCAGATACAGTCCCAAATGCACGCCCTAGATACCTTACGAGCACAGAATCTCCAAGACTGCCTAATAATTGACAGTCTAGCACTTTTGTGGGTCACTGGCCCTACATATCCTCCTGCAGATCTGTCACTTCCAGCCAATGTCTCTCACTCACTCCAGGCCTTTGGCCATGAAGTTCCTTCTACATCTCTATTTGGCAAGACCTTGACCATCCTTCAAAGTCCAGTCCAAATGCCAGCTTGCTGTGGAAACTTTTGGAACCCACCTCAGAACTTGGCTCATGCATCTCTTGAAGCAGTTGAGCCCTGCTGGGCATCTGCTTCAGGCATTGTTGTGGAAGGACAGCCCTCTTCCTTGTTCCCACTCAACCCTACACTCCCAAACCAGGCCACCTTTTATCCACCATGGCCTGCCTTCGACAAAACCTTCCATGTGCCCTGGCAGGCAATTGCTAAAAAGAGTTTACTGAATTGAACCAAAGTAAAATGAGTTGAGGTGGGGAAGGAATACTGTGTCTCTAACCAAATCTGACTCCTTGTTTTGGCACCACCCCCACCCAAGGCCTCTCGCTCCTTGGTTCTCTGCCGTAAACTTTCTTGGTGATTGGGTGCCCTGGCCTCACATCCTTTACTTCCTTTCTTCCTTTTTTAAATCATCAGTTGACCCACTAGCAAAGAGGGGGTAGCCTCGCTCTTGGAAACATGCACAGACACACGTGTGCACGCATATACTTCCAACAGCAGCCATGTGAGAATTGCTGAAAACCTTCCTTCCAGTAGACGCTCTCTGGCTCCTAACGGCCAGGACCTGTTTTTTGCTTTGTCCAAACACAAGTGACTTTGATAGAGAAACCTTGAAGTGCAGTGCCACATAGAAAGGCCCTGGATGCCAGCTTCCTGCCTCCATGTGGAACTCTGCATGGCCACACACAGAAATCTACCTTCCTGGGAGGCCATTCTGGTGATTAAAACTTGGAGGACCTTCTTGCCTCCGAGGTGAGTTGTGCAAAGTAAACAGAGCCCTGCCTCCACAGCTCAGAGCTTGCCCCTCACTTTCACCCTCATCAAAGCAAACAGTCAGACCGCATGTCACACACAAGGACTTCTAAAGGGGGCACTGCTTTCTTCCTTCCTTCTAAAAGGGAGGGCTGAAAAGAAGAAAAACATGTGAACAGCTCTCGTCTGCCAAAATGGCCCGGCAGGTCCTGCTGGCTTCAAGAAGAGGAGCAAAAGCCAGCAGCACTCAAGCCACATCCTTCACGTCCAGTCCTCAGTCCCAATATACTCAATCTGCAGTCGCTTCTGCCAAACCTGCAGACACAGCAGTCTTTGGAGAGTAGACAATTACAAAGAGACAGAGAGAGAGAGAGAGAGGGAAGAGAAGGAGAGAGGGAGGGAGAGAGAGAGAGAGAGAGAGAGAGAGAGAGAGAGAGAGAGAGAGAGTTTGTTTTAAAACTAAAGAGTGGAGGGAAAAGCGTCCCATCCTGACCTTAGAGAGGCGTCCCACAGATGCATATATCCATGAGAAGGCCGAGCTGAGCACTGAGGGGCTGGGCACCTGTTGCGCTTCACTGATTACATCTCAATAATGTGTTAATAAACTTTAAAAGGAAGGGCTCTCCCAGGCAGAGCTGTACTCATATTTTGCCTGAGAACTGTCTTCTGGAGACCGTAGTAGGTTCTGAATAGCCCTAAAAGAAACTCCAACTGCAGAAAGAGCTTCTCTGGCCCTGCAGTGATTCAGAAATGACCAGCCTTCTTCTAAGGATTTCTCCAGGAGAGAACAACAAGAATGGAAGACAATGCCAACCGAAAAGAGAGATGCCTGCTTTACTCACTGGGCATCCCCTGCTTCCTGGGTCAGGTGGAAGAAAAGGAGCCCCTCTCACCCCAGCCAGTAGAGAGTCCCCACAACCCACCTCCTCCCAAATAGGATCAATGAGGGTCCCTTGGGCCCTGATAGGCCTAGCACAGAGGCACCCATCACACCTACCAAGCCGCATAGCACCCAGGTCGTCATCCACCATGTTGGACGCCAGCAACTGATTTTTCCTGGAAAAAAGAAAATGTCAATGTTCCAGAGGAGGATGACAGAATGTACAAACGGCAGAGAAGACTGGAAGGAGTGCAGATGGACATTCAGGAGACAGGTTCTTTCTAGCCCTAGCCCTGCCTCTGCATGTGCCTTGAATGTGTCACTTCCCCTCTCTCAGTCACAGGGTCCACAGAGATGAGACCAAATGGTCTCCAAGGTGCTGGCCAATTTTGTGTTGTCACAAAGAGGCATCCACATTAGCATATAAGACGGTAAACTCTATGCTTTGACACTTGCTAAGCACTGAATGTAAGCGTATCTCAATGACATCACTGTGATACTGCTAGAAATTCACACATGCAATAAATCAAGTTCTTGTAATCATTGCCCAGAATTTTTTCACCTCATCTCTATGGCTTTGTTTGTTTGTTTGTTTGTTTCCTCTCTCCCAGCTTTCTGATAAAGCCATTAGCAGCCATTTATAATAAACCTCTGAAATGCACCTAGGTGACTAAAGGAACCTGCCGTGTATCTTTCTGTTACCTAAAAAAACTACTGTGTGATTCTGACTTGTAAATCCAGGCATGTGAACACAGATCTTTCTTAAAGTCATCCACTTGCAGTTTAGTTCCCTTTAGATTTTCTCTGTCCACCAGCAAGCATCCATCTGAACTAAGTAAAATCATCTTTTAAAGTATTAAAAATAACAATTATTACATCACTCTCTGAAAACCCATTTACTATGTTAAAAAAAAATGACAGCTCTTTTGAACGCAGCATTGAAATATATTTTCCTTCAACATCCTTGCCGGGTAAGATATGATTGAAGTAACAATCGTAATCTCACCATGGTGCACTCTATTGAATTGGTTTCCTCCTGAAGATGTTTGAAGGGGTGTGGATGGAAGACCACAGAGGACACACAGTACAGCTCCATGAGCACACACATCTTTGGACTCCAGGTTCCTTTTGCTGGTGCTAGAACACAATGCTCCCCTCACTCCCTCCCAGGCAGCCCCTGCCCTCCAGATTTCCTCCCCCACCTCGGTTCAAAAACCACAAAGTCCCTCCACCCTGACACTATCAGGATTCTGCAGGCATTCTGGTAGGATGAGCTGGAAAGAGGAGTTAAGGCAAGGAGGGGTGGTGAGAAGGATGCAGAGGGGGCAGAAGGCTGTGTCAGAGTACCCCCACTCCCAGCCCTGATGAATCACTGTACTTGCATCAGAAGCCTCTTCCAGCCATACTTCTCCCACTCCCAACCACCACAAAACAAAAGGCCGAGGACCTACGCTCTACTCTGTCTATCCCTCTGTCCCTGTTTCTCTGGAGTCTGAGGCAAGGCACCTTCCTCTTGCTGTGCCTCAGTGTCCCTGTGTGAAAAGCAAGAACTGAGGCACTGGTACTAGATGACCTCTAAAATGCCCCTTGAACCATTTCGAGCAGGGACCAGCAGGAGCAAAGGCACCCCTCCAACATCCTGAGTCCAATCACATTTCCCAAACCTCCCTCTGCTCTCCACCTCGACATCTCTCACCTAGACGACTTTAATAGCCTCCTACTGGTTTCCTGACCCAGTAGGAGTCTCCTGCTGGTTTTAGTGTGACCCACCCCTCAGCCCCCCACACGGCTGTCAAAGTCATCTTTCTAGAAAGCAAATATGACCATGACACTGCTGCCTGGCTGAAATTCTTCCAATATTCCCCATCATCAGCAGCAGCAATCATCACTGTATAAAAACAACAGCAAGAAGAACAACACATTCTTTCTGGATCCTTTTACTGTTCCAGGCACTGTGCTAAGTGCCTTGCAAGACTCAAAAGGCATTTGCTTTTCACACAAGCTTTGGAAGCAGTTATTTCACTGAGTCTCAGGGAAGTTTAATAATTTTCCCAAAATTACACAGCAAGTAAGTGGCAGCACATGAATTTAAAACCAGGTGATGACTCCTCAGATAATGGCAGCAACCACCACATATACTGCTTCCTTACCAAAATAAAATCTGGGCCCAGTAGCGTGTCCTACAAGGCTCTCCATGACCCGGCTACCTACTGCCCAACCCCATCTCCCTCTGGGCCTTCATACCCCATCTGCATTTCCTCCATGCTGAGCATGTCAGCCCACACCTCTAGACCTTCTCAAAAGCTGTTCACTCCATCTAAAGTATTTTTTAGCAAATCATACTAATCCTCTAAAGCCCAACTGGAATGTTCCCTTCTTTTCAACTCCAAAGAATGAATTCATTCATTTCTTCACTCACTCACCCAGCATACATGTGTGGCTATCTGGCAGGCCTATCTCCCTACCCAGAAGAGACCCCGATGTGTCCAATGAACAGACATAAATTGCAATATGACATAGTGTGGCGGGCCGAACAATGGCCCCCAAGATAGCCTCATCCGAATTACCTTAGATGGAAAAAGAGATTTTGCAAATAAGATTAAATAAAGGATCTTTAGATGGGGAAAGTATCCCAGATGGGACCAATGTACTCACAAAGAAGAGGGAAGCAGAAGCAGATGTGACACAGAAGAAGAGATGGCGGTATGATTAGGGAGGCAGAGACCGGAGTGATGCACCTTGCAGATGAAGGGGCACAAGCCAAGGAGTACAGGTGGGCACCAGAAGGTGACAAAGGCAAGGAAACAAAAACTTCCCTGGATTCTCCAAAAATAACCAGCCCTGCCACACCTTGACTGTAGCCTAGTGGAACTGATTTTAGACTTCAGCTTCCTAGAACTGTGAGATAACAATTTCATGCTGCTTTGAGCCATTAAGTATGTGGCAATTTGTTGTAGCAGCAATAATAAACTAATACATACAGTGAGAGTCATAACCAAGGAGGGAGGAAGGACTACAGGATTCTCTTGGTCTCTTCCAGATCCTGGGTGTCCAGCATCTAGCCAGTGTGCCATAAATGGTGCTGAATACCAGGTGATTCTCACAGAGGCCAGATGATTATACAACTTAGAACTGTCGGAGACAGGACTCAAACCCAGACCACTGGCTGCAAATGCTCTACTCTGTTCTTTCCTCTGTTTTATATATCCTTCCCTTATTCAGAAGCCTCCATGGCTTCCTGTGGTCCATGGAACAAAGTTCAACCTTCCCAACCTTTTCTTGGCTCCTGAGAGCAGGTGAGTGGGTGGCCAGGAGCCATGGTGAGAGTGTGGGGATGATGTTCCTGCAGAGTAGTGTACAGCTGGGCCTCTCTCCCGGGTCATGAGACTTCCACTCAGAGGGCCATCCATCAGCTGCAAGAACCCTGCTCAGATGCTTTGTGCACATTTCCCTTAGATCTCATCATCAGGGGAGACTTCAATTACGCGCACACATAGAGAATGTGCTTATTGTTCCTTTCATGTGTCCCTTTGTGAGCAAGTTTTATAAAGTTTAAAAGGTCAGTTTAAAAGCATGTTCTTTGCCTTTGAGTAAAAACTGCTATGAACAACAATGTCAAAAAGATAAATCAAGGGATTCAAAACACTTTTTCAAAGTGTGATTGTGCAGATAAGCCAGAGACACGTGTCAAAGTGTGCAACTAACAAATCCACAGAGGAGCGGGTGGCAGACACCCAGCTTGCCTGCTCTGTCTGAGGCTTCCCCCTCCCACTGCAGCTCCTCTTGTGCCCCACAGGGAGAGGCAAGGGCCAAAGCAGGGCTCCATGTGACCAGGACTCAGTCCCTAAATAACTGAGTCCTTGGCTGGGTGGAAAGAGCCACTCAGAGACCCAAGTTCTTGTCCCTGCTCTCCCCCTAATCGATGTGACCTTGGGTAAGTCACATATCCTTTGTGGCACCAGGTTCCTCACCTGTACCATGGGGAAAGCCTAAGCGTCTCTACTCATCATAGACATGACCAAATACAGGGACTCTGAGAGGACCACAGTGCCCTGGTCATGTTATTCTTGAAGATACTTTACTGCTTATACATCCCATCACTATCAGAAATAGTCTGTCAGCTCTCACATTAAAATAGAGAAGAAAAGATGTTCATTTTAGTACTGAATACGTAGCTAAGTTAGTATGGGTTCCCAAAAAAAGTGTCTCAAGAGAATAAAGGTATTGATTACTTACGGCTATGGTTTGAATATTTATCCCCTCTAAAACTCATGTGGAAATTTAATCCCCAATGTGGCAGTACTGAGATAGAGGGTCTTTAAGAGGTGATTCGGTTATGAGGGCTTTGCCCTCATGAATGGATTAATCCATCCATGCATTAACGAATTAGTGGGCTAATGATTCTTTTTTTTCCCTAGAGACAGGGTCTTGCTATGGTGCCCAGGCTGTTCTCAAATTACTGGCCTCAAGTAAAATTCCAGCCTCAGCCTGCCAAAGGTGTGAGCCTCTGTGCCCAGCCATGGTCAGTGGATTAATGCATTATCACAGAAGTGGAAATAGTGGCTTTATAAGAAGAGGAAGAGAGACCTGAATTAGCACATTCTCCATGTGATGTCTTTTGCCACCTCAGGACTCCACAGAGTCCCACCAGCAAGATGTGCCCCACCAGATGTGGCCCCTCAACCTTGGAGTTTCCAACCTCTAGAGCTATAGAAAACAAATTTTGTTTCTTTATAAATCATCCAGTTTCAAATATTCTGTTATACGCAACAAAAAATAGACTAAGACACATTATGTATTTGATGAAATATCAGAACCCAGTGACAATGGGAACTCAAATTGACCCCATTCATGTGGCACAAGAATTCAGAATACAAGAAATTAACAAATTCTTCCCAAGGCAGTGATACCACAGCATACCTAGTGAACTCATGTAAAATTATCTGGCACAGCACTTCTACAAACCAGTTCATACAAGATTCTCTGGGGGGTATCATTTTTAAGTTCCACTAAAAATATGCTCAAAATGAAAAACTCTTTAAATGCATCAGAAAATGATGCATCCTAAGTGAAACTTAGCAGACGCAGCAAACAGGGCTCCCAAGAACTCAAGATAATAGAGTTTTTTTAAAAAAGAAATTGAAATAATAAGGAAAGAATAGGGCACTTTGAAAAA